TGCAACTGAGACTCATAGTGATCTTTCTATCTTAGCCTCCCTAGTGCTGGAATTACAGGTGTGTGCCACCACACCTGGTTTTGGTGGCCAGCACAGTGACACAGCATGTGGTACCACAGTTCAAACCTGGGTCATTGCACTTACCAGGCAGGCACAAGTATCAGAGTTCGAACCCAGGTCCATGCTCTTGCCAGGTAGGCACTTAGACTGCTGAGCTATCTCCCCAGCCCCTTAATGTTTCATCTTAAGACAGGGTTTCACTAGCCTCCCACAGTATTAAAATTACAGGCATTAGTAGTGGGTACTATATTTTTAACTTTTTTAAATTTGTTTATTTGTTGTTTAGTTTGATTTGGTTAGGTTTTTGCAGCGGTGAGGATTAAATCCAAGACTGCACAAGACTGTAAGTGCTCTATCACCAGTATGCATCCCCAACACTTGGTCAATAACATTCTTATTAAAAGTATGCTAACTTGGAGCCAGCCAGATAGTTCAGCAGATTAAAGTGCCTGTTTAAGCATATGTAGGACCAGGGTTTGATCCCCATCATGCCATGCCAGCCCTGCATCTAGGGCATGCTGAGATGGCGATTAAGACTGGACGTGGTGGTGTATGCCTGTAATCCAAGCGCTTGGGAGGCTATAAACAGGAGGAGCACTACAAGTCCAATCTATGTAGTGAGACATTGTAGACCCTGTACTAAACACACAAAAAAAAATTATATATATTACTCAAAATAATATATATATATTACTCAAAATAAATTGCTATGTGGAATTTGAGCTCCTTCTTAGTATTTTTTTAATTCAGTTAATAGTGATCATGTAGGGAAAGGCAGAAATTTGACATTTTAAGATGTTAAATCTTACCACCATCATTCTCTTGTGAACTTTAAAGTCTACTTCTTAAATTTCTGCTTAACAAAGAATGAATGTGTTCTCTTTTCTGTTCAAGAAATCATCCCACAGACAATTTTGACTTTTATCATGTCAGTATTAAAGCAGGCATTAAAGAGAGTAGTCCATTACATAGGTGATTTTATTGCACTAAAGCAGCTTTGAAAATTAAAAACATGTTGAGGGGCTAGGGAAATAGCTCAGTAGAATAAGTGCTTGCACAAGGGCCTGAGTTCAATCCCTGGTTCCACCAAAAAAAGACACTGATTAATGGGGCTGATGAGATGGCTCAGTGGTCTAAAGCACCTACTTAGAACAAGCTTACCAAAGCACAGGGACCGCAGTTCAATCCCCCAGCACCACATGCCAGCCAGCTCCGCACAAGGAAAGCCAACATTTGGCTCTAACCTTCCAAGGTCAATTAAGACTCAGGACATGTGAGAACTTGTACTATAATGTTATGTAACTCAGTAGTGTCCCAAATTTTCTGATGGGGCCAAAGAGGAAAGTGATGGATGATATAGAGTATGCCTAAGGAAAGTCACATGGAGAGAAAACATTCTCTCAGGCTTTCACAGAGAGCACATTGGCCAAGCAATGGCTGTGACTCATCCACATGGCTGACACTGACAAAGGATCTACAATCTGAGGTACAGGATCTGAGGAAAAATCCTGAGAGGATTTGACTGACCTTATCAGATCCAAAAATTACAACTCTTGTTGCATAGGTCTTGCTTTATCTTGGTCTTAACCATCCAGCAGAAAAGTATAAAAACGAATAAGAAATAAAGCCATGCTGTTATGTTGAGCTGTAGAGGACTCAGGTCAACAATTTTTAATAGAGGAATAGCTGGTTTAAATGGGATTTCCAGTCCAAGTTTACTAAGGAGTCTCCATACTGATTTCCATAATGGTTGCACCAGTCTACATTCCCACCAGCAGTGGAGAAGGGTTCCTTTTTCCCCACATCCTCTCCAACATTTGTTGTTGGGTGATTTCTTTATGATAGCCATTGTTTTTGGGGTGAGATGATATCTCAGTATTGTTTTAATTTGCATTTTGTGGATGGCTAGTGATGTGGAGCATTTTTTCATATATTTATTCGCTTCTTTAATTTCTTCCTCTGAGAAATGTATGTTCATCTCAGATGCCCATTTCTGGACTGGGTCTTTAAATTTTGGGGCCCTAGTGTTTTTTTAGTGTCTCTGTTTTAATGTTTAGATCTTTAATCATTTTGACTTTAGCTTAGTGCATGGTGATAGACCTGGGTCAAGTTTTAGTTTTCGGCATGTAGGGAGCCAGTTTTTCCAGCACCATTTGTTAAAGAGACTATCTTTCTTCCAGTGAGTATGTTTGGCCCCTTTGTCAAAGATAAGGTGGCTGAGTGTGTTCATAGGGACTTCAGTGTATTCAAACGGTTAGGATAGATATATAGTTAAATTCTCTTCATGAATAGAGAGATTTGTTCTAATAGCCTTTGTAAATAGGATATCATGTCTGCATCTTGTACAGCAGTTAACCACTAGTAAGAGAGTATGCAATGTGTTAATTATTGAAACTGTCCTACCAATTTGATTTGAAACTGTCTCATTGCTATTTGTCTCTCAATAAAATTATGGAAAAAATATATTAAAACATGATTCTGATATTTACATTAAAAAAATGAAAGAGGAAAAGAAAAATGAAAAAAGGAATGGATCAATATAATATTTAAGATATTAAATATTATACTATTAAAAGTACTGACACCAACCTTATGACTCACTAAAGTGCCATAGGAATGCACAGAATATACATTGACAATGTACTCTTAAGTGAAATAAATCAGCCCTTCATGTGCAAATATAAGCAAAAGAAAGAAAGAAAATTAAAAACAAAAGACTCCATCCTTAAGCTCTGAAATACAGTCAGCCCTCTCTGTCCTTGAATTCCTCAAATATTCATGGATCAAGAAAAATTGAAGGCCTAGAGAGATAGCTCAATAGAGAACATGCTTGCCTGGTAAGCGCAAAGTCCTGAGTTCAATCCCTGGTACCACAAAAAAAGAAAAGAAAAGAAAATTTGGAAAAAAATACTGCATCTGTATCAAATGCATGGAAATTTCTTTCTTACTAAGAGATGACTATAATTTCTAAATAGAGATATAATTAAGTCTTTTCACTTCTTGTTCATTTTGAGGCCTTCTATTCAAGACTGTTGTAAAACTGGTGATGTATTTTGTTAGGTTTCTGTTCGGAGTCTATCCTAGTAGATTCTTTCCAACTAGTATTTATGTCTTTAACAGAGTAAGGAGACGGCGAAATCAGGAAGATACTCTGCACCAAAGATACCCTGAGAGCAAAGACAAAAAAAGCAAAGAGGAAAAAGAAATTCAAAACAAATACACAGAAAGGGAGGTATCAGCAAAAGAAGACAAGTCTGTGCCATGTGCAGCACAGAAAGCCAAGACTGTGAGGGCAGCTGTTGACCCTGGGAGAGAGAAGATTTTCAGGCCACCTGTAGAAAAATGGAAGCGGCAGGACAATAAAGACTTAAGAGAAAAGCGCTGTTTCATTTGTGGAAGAGAAGGGCACATTAGAAAAGAATGTCCACAGTTTAAAGGCTCTCCAGGTAAGGATGCCCTTCACACCTTGACATTTACACTGATGTGTCCAGGAAAATCTTGGCAGTTTTTTCCTATTTTTGCTATATGTATTTCTTTAAGAAATGTATTTATAGTCTTATGAAAGCCTGGTCATTCCTAGTGTCTGTAAATGTAGCCTCAGTAACTAGGAAAAAAGCTCCACCTTGAACTTTATTTCTTAGAGTGTGAACTCTGGAAATCAAAGCATTGTCAGGACACCACACTGTACCAGTTAGCTACGGGGGTTTTATCCATGTACACAGGCACATGCATTGGAGAGGAAACAGAAAACTGAGTGTGGTGGCACACACCTACAATCTCAGCACTCTGGGAGGCTGAGGTGGGAGGTTCACAAGTTATGGCCAGCTTGAGCTACCTAGCAAGATGTCTCCAGAAAAATAAATAGAAGGAAACAGGCTGTGCAGTTAACTAATGATGATTATATCTGCAGAGAGGAACCTTGGAGGATTTTATCTCATGTCTTAATAACTTTGTTCAACTGAGCATGATTATTCAGAAGATAAAGAAGAAAATTATTGTCAGTAATTTAAAGCCATCCACAAGTCTGAACTAGATGTGTTTGCCATAGAGCTGTGATTTAAGAGGCTCAGGCAGGATGATCATTTGAGCCTGAGTTCTAGGCCAGCTTGGTCAACATAAGGAGTCCCTGTCTCCCAGAGGGTCATCCATTAATCTTGCCCCTTTGATTGCTGAATAGGAAATGGCCACATTTTAGTAAATGTTAAAAATACCTGTTGGGGGCACTTCTCTTTGTTTGTTTGTTTGTTTGTTTGTTTATACTAAGGATTAACCCCAGGGGCACTCTACACTGAGCTATATCCCGACCTGGTTTAGTTTCTTTGGAAATAGAATTTCATTAAGTTTAGACTGGGGCTAGGGAGATAGCTCATTGGTTCCTCTCTGCAGGTATAATCACCGTTAGTTAACTGCACAGCCTGTTTCCTTCTATTTATTTTTCTGGAGACATCTTGCTAGGTAGCTCAAGCTGGCCATAACTTGTGAACCTCCCACCTCAGCCTCCCAGAGTGCTGAGATTGTAGACCCGGGTTCAATCCCTGGTACCACATGCCATGCCTGCATGCCAGGCTGAGATGGAGGATCACTGTGAGTCCAAGCTGCTTAGCGAGACCCTGTACCAAATGAATAAATAAATAAAAATAAATTTTAAAAAAAATTTGGCTGGATTCTGAGTTCTATTCCTCTTGCCTCAGCCTACAAGTAACTGGCTTATAGGCTTGCAGGACCATACCCCCCTATGGGCACCTTTTCACACATGGTTAGGACTAAGGGAACTTAAAGTTGAGGTGGTAAGGTACCACTCATAAGGCAGTGTATGTACTCTCACTTTACTTCTGAGAACAAACCTAGGCCAGTGGACAAATTTGATAAACATAGAAAAGAAACACAGGAGAATGCATTTTTTATTAATGTAGTTAATGTGAGTGTATGCTTGTAGGCAACATTAAAAAGTCAAAGCTCACTTATAATTTCTTTGAAATGCCTCAGTGTTGTAGTTTTTGGGACACTAATCCTTCTCTTTCATTGTATTACATCATGTTCAACAATACATTATAAAAGTTCTTAAATCATTCATCCTCATTTTTTTAAAGGAGCTTTATGTGGAAAGAAATTTTTTTTTTTTTTTTGCGGAACCAGGGATTGAACTCAGGCCCTTGCACTTGCCACAGAAGCACTTATTCCACTGAGCCATCTCTCTGGTCCCAAGAGAAAGAGTCGGGACGGGGGCGCAAACCGGCGACCCCGCGCTCCGCGGCCCGGCGCTGAGACCGCCGCGCCAGGTCGCCACCTGAAAGAAATTTATTCTAAGATTATTTTATCTATTTTTTAAACAGGGCTGAATGTTTATATTCATTGCTTTGGTTCATTCACACAGCCAAATTAGTCTTTCCACTCTTCTGCAGAAGTCCAAGGTTTGCCCTGACAAGGATTTATAGCAAAATAATACAATTTTCTTTTCTAGGAAGAGTGTGTAATTAGGGCTGGCCAGATAACCAGTGGACTAAAGCTCATGCTTAGGCAAGCACTAGGGAAGGAGAGTTCCATCTCCATCCTGTGCCAGCCCCGCCCCCAGGCACACTGAGATGGTGTTTGAAAGTGCCTTGTTCTTGGGAGGCTGAACACAGGCAGATCACTGCGAGTCCAGTTTACATAGTGAAACCCTGTAGACCCTGTCCTAAATACAGAAGAAAAAAAAAAGCGTAATTAAAACAGTGATACTTGCTAATACTTATGGAGCATTCAATGTGGGATCAAGTACTTTACATGGATAATTTTTTTAACTTCCACAACAGTCCCATTAAAGTTAGTAGCATTAATAATAACCTCACTTTGTAGGTGAGGTTCCTGTAAATAGTAGAGATAACACTTAATATATATATTTTAACCAACATAATAGGCTACCCTTGTCAGAACTCAGGTTTCATGTTTATGAATAGCCTATAGTACGTCATTGTGTTCCTCTTCAGTACAACAGAATGGTAACTTTCTCCCAGCTTTGATGGATTTCTTCTTTCTAGCAGCAGTTTTTTATGTTGTTAACTGGTTCAGCCTTCAAAACAATAAAAGCAGTTATTTTGGCAGCCTGAAAAGGAAGTGGCAAATCAGGGAGGACATCCTGGTAGAAGGGGAATTAGCAACCCTAACCTGGTTTCCTCCAGAGGTAGCATATATATATTAACATGAGCATTCATCACATGGTCTGTGTGACAGGAGGGAGGACTGGGGCCAGAAATGGTGTTTCCTTTGGAACCAATTAAAAATAATCAGCTTCTTTTTGTCTAAAAACTGTTCTACCCCCTCTCATTTCTTCAAACATATTGGTAATCTGTTATACAATGCTCTGCATTGAGCTTGTATCACTTCAACAGAAAATCTGTGCAAGAGTTTGAAAACAAGGCCACCACTGTCAGTTTAAAGCAGGAACAAACAGTGCTGCTTTCTTTCTTTAGGTGTGTCTAAGTCAGATCCTTGTGTGTTTGGAACCCCTTCTTCACCTAGCCCTTTGAGACCAGCTGGTCCGTTTGCTCAGGTAAACCCAGATCAGCTCTGAGGAGGGTGCTGCTCTGTGCTCTGCATTCGCCACACACTCACCACACTTGCTGAGAGCTCCCAGGTCTATGCTGTGAGCCCCTTCTGCTGACTTCACGCTCATCATCCCAGCCTCTGTGCTGCGTGCATGTGTGTGTGCAAGGGGTGCTGGGCCTCACTGAAGTAGTCTTCCATACTTGCTTGTCTTGCCGGCTAGCTTAAAGAACTCTACCATCCATGTGTCTCATTTCAGCCCTCTGTGGTTATGGTGGCATTCTGTGGTAGATGCACTCCCTTTCCCTTTTGTAAACCAGTCTATTTCATTTTTTAGGCAGTGATTTTACATGAAGACAAAAAGAAACAAAAAACAGCAATATTTTTGAGTCCCCAGTCAGGTATGTGGGGTTTTTTTTTAATGTGTATTATTTACTGTATTCTTTTCCACATGCCTTTTGAGACTCTGACTAATAGATTTTAACAGAGACTAGATGTCAGAATCTCTTGGTGTTATTTTTTAAAATGCACTTACCTGTTTTCTTTCCCTCAGTCTGATTCTTTGGTGGTTAAGTGTGGTCCTTTACATTTTTAAGTACTCCAGGTAATTCTTACACTACCCGAATAAGAACCATGGTCTTCATTTATTCTCCTACCAGGCTTTTATTTGTGCTCTGAAGTTGTTGTCTTAACCAACAATATGTGCACCTGGCAGGGTTATTGCCGTGCATCAGACAAGGGAAGATGCTCTTCACTTCTGGACCATGGCGTCCACTCACCCTTGGTGAATACTTAAGTCCTTTTATGATGACAGGGCACTGGCCTTGACACCAGCTCTACCTCAGTGGACACATGAAGCTCCTTTTCTCATGCACCCCATACTCTTGTCAGAATAGATATACAATTAAGAGTCATCACAGATGAACAAAAATAGAGTATCCTCTGTTGACAGATGCTGAGAATTATAAAGCAGGAAATAGGAGAATGTTGGTTTGAGAGGTGGCCTCTAATAAAGTAACACTTCAACGAGAAATCAGTGAAACAGGGACAAATCAAGGGGACCTTGGAGTCTGCCTGTTAGGTCAGTGCTCAGATCATTTCTGTCCTCAAATCCCCAAAGCCTGCAGAGGGGTGAAGTACAGAGTCAGCAGTTGAGGCTCCTTCAGCAGTGGAGGACTGTGTTTTACTCTGGATGAGATGAGAAGCCTTGGTGGGTTTTGAGCCACAGAACGCTATTACCTGAAACTGATGTTTAAAAGTTTAAGTTTGGTCTCTGGTTGCATCCATTTGTATAAACCAGACTCGCATGAGTAAACATATTGTCTTCCTAGTGTAAGAAACTGAAAGAATAAGATGCAAAATGTACAGTAGATCTAGTAAAAGGGAAACTGGTCAGAAGGAAAGAACAACTGGGATGGGGAAAAGAGGAAAAAAGGAAGGGAAAAATTGTACTACTAATTTCTATCAGTTCACTGAAAGGAGCAGTCAGTGTGTACATTGTTTGATCAATTTTGCATGCCAATACCTGGTAATCTGAGCAACTACTTTGAAGATGATAATATGCAATATAATAATCATTGTTAATTGCATAATATAGTCTTGAAATTCTATCTTGTTTTGTTTTTCTCTGAAATTTAAGTAAAAGTTTCTTAGGGCTCATGTGCAGGGGCTGTAGGGCAGAAACTTAGAAAACCAACAAGATTGCAGTTTCACTGCAGTAGCTTAAAAGGTTTAGACTTGGAAATGCAGGAGAAAGTGAGGACAAGAGCAGGTCAAATTCTGGGTTTTGTAAAGGTAGCACCAAGGAGATTTACCGATCGATTGGATAGTACCAGGACAGAATGAGTCAGAAATGGCACTGCAGTTTTTGGCCTGATGCTAGAAAAACGGAGGGTGAAGTTACTGTACTGGGGAAGACTCAGTGAGAGAAGATTGGGAAGAAGAAGTAGAGGTCAGTTCTTGACATGTAAGAGAACTTTGAGGTGTCAGGTGTGGTGTTGAGAGGAGGCTCAAGCCAGAGAAGGACTACATTTGAAGCCCAAAGTCTGAGTGAGTGAGATCACCTAGAACAGAGAAACATATTAGAAGTAAAGGAGGCAAAAGAGAAAAGTGGCCAGGGAAGAAGGCAACAGAGCCAGAGCTCCATCCTAAAGTCTCCACAGGGAAGGCGCACAAGAGGGAGGCCTCCCCCTGTGTGAATGCTGCCGGAGCTCTGGGATATGATCTGCCTCCAAGCCACCAATGACTTTGAAAAGATCCACATCTGCCTCTGAAGCAGAGGAAACAAAAATCTGACCTGCAGGGAGGCCAAGAAATGCTTGCAAAGAAGCCACAGGCTCCCTAACCTTGTACCCCTCTTGTAAGGTGGTACAGAAAGGGTAGGAGACTGGGGTCTCTGGTACTGTAAGGGTCCTTCTGCATCCTGAAAGGAAGGAGAACAGTGAGGTGAAAAAGAAGAGCAAAATAGCTGTGCCTTCTTGGTAACTTTTGGGGCATTTTTTAGTAAGGCAGTATAAAACATGACGTGTCTGAATTCTAGCCTGCAGGTACTCATAGAACTCTGCTTAAGTGATCTGTTTCTCTGTCCATCTTGGTCTTGTTCAACAAAAAGGGTTAAATAAGAGGAATTAAGCCTAATGTAGTATCCACAGTATTTTTAAATGATTATTTATTTTATAAGAAAATCTGTTTGAAATTTAAAAACTTTTTGGTATAACCTAACGTTTGTGTATGTTAATGTAAAGCAAGTCACACACAGTGGTCCCTCTGTATTCATTGCTTCACTTTCTGCAGTTCCAATTAATTTGACCAGGTGCAGTCTGAAAGTACAGTCCAGTCCAGCAAGATATTTTGAAAGATTTTTTTTTTGGCTGGCTCAGGATGCCTTAAAGGCAGGTCTAGTGAGGCATGAGGATGTGGGGATCGAACCACAGTATCTTGAGGCTGACTGCCTTCACTTAAGCAGGCACTTAAACAACTGAGCTAATGGGAAGGCCACCCCAGCAAGATATTTTGAGAGAGAATATTTTCCATCTACAAGTTTGTATTCCATCATGTTATTACAATTGTGCTACTTTATTATTAAGCTGTTCTCAGTTAATAAGTGTACCATAGATAGGAATGTACAGGGAAGCCTAAAGTATGTAATAGTCTGTGCCCTCTGTGGTTCAGGCCTCATGGACCACATCCCCCAGGGAAGGGGGCCTCTGTATTCTGTGTATAGCTCTTATACACCGTTCCATCTTATTGTGAGACCAGAGCTAGAGAGATGCTGTGAGGCTGGAGAAATGCCCATGGCCCTGAGCAGCTCTGCGTTTCCTTGCACAGTGTCAGCCTTTGAGAAAAAGCCATTGAGGTTGCAGGGCAGATTCCCATGCCCCATACTAGAGCTCATCCTCAGTCTCTCTGGCTCAGTCTCAGAGGCAAGGGCACTGTGATCTCACTGGAAAAGCTGCAGAGTCTGCTTTGAATGTTGTGAGTAGGAGAAAATATAATGGAGTCATTAACTTATTCAAGTTTCTATCAGTACTGTGTGGATTTACAGGGTTTAGGGGTGGGGATGATTGAGGAAAACATTGAAATAGCATCATATCTCTCTACAATTAGAATTTTTAAAGAAATGGGAGAGAAACATCTCAACAAATATATTATGTCCTTGGGCCAATAGGGAAGTGATGGCTCCAAATAAGAGAAAGAGGCTCTAGGAGAAACATAAGCACCAAAGGGAAGACTTCCTATTGTTCTGGGGGAGTCAGAAGCAAACCCAGCAGGCAGAAGAGAAATGAGCAAGAGCCTCCCACTTCCACAGGCAGGTCAGGCCTCTGAGAGTTACTTGAAGAGAGGGTAGAGCTGACTGCCAGGGTAGCTACTCAGCCAGAAGCAACTCCAGGGCATGAAGGGCATGGGACTGTGCCTAGATCCTGGAAGAGCTCAGGATCACAGAGATGTCATATGTAAACAAGCCAAAAGAATATTTCCTGAACATTGTATGGAGGAAAGCCACTGGTTCTTGCTTTATCGGAATGCTTGAGTTGCTAAAATCAGCTCTGCAGTCAGACTTCCCAGGGGTTGATTTCCATCTGCATCAGTCATGTTAAGCACCCTCTGTCACTTTCCTGTGCCTTGGTTTCCCAGTCTGTGAATGGGGATGGTTGTCATACCCCAGGGCATGGATGGGAAGATGTACAGGAGGGACACCCAGAGCAGGACCTGCAGAGGGAGCACCAAGAAAGACCCAGGCCAGTGGCAAGGGCATAGATGTGCTGTTCATGCGGATAGTGCCAGCACTGCCCCGCTGAAGGCAGGAGACAGCCTAAAAGAAAAAAAAATTTTTTTGAGGCAGTGTTCCCATATAATCCAGGCTGGCCTGGGAGTCAGAGCAATCCTCCTGCCTCAGTCTCTAAAGTACTGGGATTATAGTTGTGTGCTGCTACACCCAGCTGGATTTTATAGTAATTTTATAAAATACCCCAAAATGGGAGAAAACTACAGGTGGTAGACCTATATCTAGAAATACCATTACCAGTTGATAGTAACTTAGGGTTTCTCCTTGATGAAAACCTACATATTTATAAATCTTCTGAGCAACTGAAAAGATTAAATTTGCTTGCTACAGAAAAGTTATACTTTATACAAGAAAAAAGAAAACATTAAAATCAACCCTTTCCAATAAATTGAACTATTCAAGTAAGTAATTGACAGTTGTGATGACTATCAAATTTTCCCGTATCTTTATGCAAATTATTTTAATTGTGAAATATGTCTCAATTGTAAATAGAATTTCTCCAAAGCTCTGCCTTTCCACAGTCCTTAAGACTTGTGCTGTCCCAGTGGACTGAAAAGCGCATGCTGAATTGACAGCTTCTGTCCTCACACAGAAGCTGGTAACTTTGGGCAGGAGTTAGCCTTTGTCGCTTCACGCCAGTGGTAACACTATCCCCTTCACAGGTTCCAGAGTCTGAGAGCAGCCAGTCAGGTTCCTCTTTCTGCTCTCGCCCTCCTTACAAGTGTAGATCCATAAACAAGAGAATAGTGGGGGAACTGCTCCCATATTTTCGGGCTGCTCATCGCGACTCTCTCCCCCATACATACCTAACAGAGTGCCTTAGATATGCCTTATGAATAGAGAAACAAGGAGAATAGCTAGAGCATGAGCTTCAGTGTCAGATGCTTGGGGTTAAAATTCAGCCCCAGCATTTACTAATTGGGTAGCATCCGGTAAGCTCTGCAAGCCCACTGCACTTCTGTTTCCTTACCAGTCCACCAGAGCTAACACCTCACAGGATATGAGATGAAGAACTCACGACCTCACAGACTACCTCACCTGTTGCAGAATGCAGTGAATCCTCACTGTCCTTGTCATTAGCATTAATTTATTTGCTTTTATAGAGAAAATTTGTAATGGAGTTTTGTTTTTTAACAAAACAAGCATATGGAGGTTGCAATATAAGTTACAAATTAACTGATTCTTAAATTTGTTATTGTGGCTCACATTTTTCTAGTATGAGAATCTCAGAAAAGTTTTCCTATTCCTAGCACCCGCTACCTTTATTCCAAAGATATTACTTACAAAACAAAACAAAAATTCAGTAACTACTTCAGCCTCTTCATATATTCCACTTTTATCCCAACTTGAAATCATAAAATTGAAAGTAATAATTGGTAGATATCTTTTCTTCCCTTACAATAGTAAGTTTAGGTTTTATCCCTAAGCAGAATTTCAAAGCCTAGGGCTGGTTGTCTTTTTTTTTTTTTTTTTTTTTCATACAAGGTCTCACTGCACAGATTGGACTCGTGCCCAAGTGTGGGATTAAGGCGTGTGCCACCAAACCCAGTCTGTCACCAGTCTCAGCACACCACAGATGTGGGGCCCGCACATAGCTGGTTGTCTTTATGATTGTACGTTTAAAATTGTTTTAGAAAAAAAGTGGGAAAAAAATTCACTGGTTACAGAATATAGATCATTGTTTCTGATAGCCTTGGTATTCCTATTGACTAGCCTGTCATTCTTATCTACCACAAAAATACATCATTTGGGTTCTAAAACTTTTTTGAGACAGAGTCTCTGCGCTATGCAGCTCAAGCTGGCCTTGAGCTCACTAAGTAGCCCATGCTGGTCTGCAACTTGCAATGATCGTCCTGCCTCAGCCTCCCGAGTGCTAGGATTTACAGGCATGCAGCACCATGCCTGGCCTAAAGCTTTTTATTAAATCTTAAAAGTATAAACATTTCTTCTACATTGAGTTTTCACAGTTACTAGATCACTGATCAAAACAAATGTTACAATTTTTGATAAATAAAACACTTTTTTGGCTGGGTTTGTAGCTTAGTAGTAGAATATTTGTTTGGCATACTTAAGGACCCATATTCTATCCTTAGTACCACAAAATAAAATAAATGTATATTCAGTTACTGAAAATGACTTTCTCTTAAGGAGGTAGATGGGCTGTTTCCCCATATCATCACATACCCGCAGATCCATGAGTGAAGGTGTACCTTATCATTTCTGTTTCTAATCTGTTTTTATGTTGGCAAACAAAGTCTTTATAATGGCAAATTTAAAATAATAGAAATGCTTTAAGAGTTTAGAAATGACCAGTGCCAGATATTTTAATTACTTCTTAATGATAAGACCATGAATCACATAGCAATGTATAATCAAAGCTTACTTTAATAATCATTAAGTATCAGTGTAATTGATAAAAGCTAAAACTTATAATATTTATTAGCAGCATTCATATCACCACAGGTACCAGCATTTCTCTTGCTCCCTATCCCCTCTTCCAAAGCCTGTTCATACCGTCAAACTGCAAAGAACTCAAGAGTGCACTGCGTCCCATAGCATCCACCAGTGTAGGAACACAGTGCACCAGCATCACTGTTCAAGAAACATATTTTTTTTTTTTTTGTAAAGTGAAAGAATAGTTGTGAAAGGAGAGTTGGAATGAGAGTAGAGTGATTCTTAAGAACCAGCCCAAAATGCTGACAAAGTATGGCAATTTAAAAAAAATACATAGAAAAATTGAGGGACTGGGGACATTGGGATGTAGCTCGGCTGTGAAATACTAAATTAGCATGTGCAAGGCCCAAGGTTCAACCCCTAGTGCCAAAAATAATTGAGGAGCTGGAAACTGATTCTTGCTCACATACCTAGTCCAGTAAGTTGGAGAACACACAGACCCAAGTTGGATGTCCTTCTGTGCATACTTATTTAGTTATTTAGTGAGCCTAAATCTTCACTAACACAGATGAAAGCTAAAAATGTGTACTTTTAGACCATGATAACAATTACCAAGTTAAGATTGTTGATGATCCCAGATAGTCCTTGCCAATTCTACCCAAAGCCTAGCTTCCCTGGATGTCCTTTCATGTTTTGCCAGTCAGTATTCCTGTAATTATCACTAAACTCACATTTTTTACATTTAGTTTCTTCATATTTATATACGTGTATTTTTAACCAATTTTTTTTTTTTTTTTTTTTTTTTTT